ATCTCTTTTTTTAAATTTATATTATATATCTATCTATCTATCTATTATCTATCTATTCTATCTATCTATCTATCTAATCTATCTATCTATCTATACTATCATATCTATCTATCATCTATCTATCCTTATCAAATCTATCTATCTATCTATCGATCTGTCGCATCTACTATCCTTCTATCTATCTATCTATCTATCATATCTATCTATTATCTGTCTATCTATTATTTTCTATCTATCTAATCTATGCTATCTATATTCTAGTCTAATCTTATCTATCTATATATAATATATACTTATATATAATATATATATACTATATATATATAAACACACTAGTAAAAGTTTTGAACCTATCTCTATTTTTTAAAATGTTATCTTAAATATATATCCAATCTATCTATCTATTCTTTATCTTATCTATCTTCTATTATCTATCTATCTATCTATCATCTATCTATCTATCTATCTATCATATATTCTATCTATCTATCTATTCTATCGTATCTATTCTATCTAATCCTATCCTTATCTATCCTTCTATCTATCTTATCTATCTAAATCTATCTATATATTATCTATTCTCATCTATCTATTCTATTATTATCTAATCTATCTATCTATCTATCAATATCTATCTATCTATCTATCTAATCTATCTATCTATCTCATCTATCTATCTATCTTATCATACTCTATCTATCTTATCTCATCTAATCCTATCTATCTATCTTATCACATATATATATATATATATTACATACTTATATATATATATACTATATATATATATATCTGCAATTGTAGGTTATTATACATGTACTGCACTTAGCCTATTATGCTAATGCTTACGGTAAAGCGCGACGGTATTCGCTTTCTAGACCGTAAAAAATAATCGTATAGCCGTCGAGCCCACAGCATCAACTTCAGCCGTGGTCGCTTGTCGTCTGCATCGGTAGAGCGGCGGCCGCGTCGCCAGCGACGTTCACGCCGAACTTGGCGGGATTAACTGCGGCAGGTTGAACGTGTAGCAGAATGTCCGCTGATCAACGCGGTCGTGCGCGATGAGGAAGAAAGGTCTTGTGCAGTGTCTGCCCTTGAATCGACACGCCCTGATGGAGTCCGCGCTATCTTGGGCGCTGATCGCGTCCAGCTCCGCAGCTTTGAAGTGCGTGAGGTTGTAGCCGGACGTCGGGAAGTCCAGCGTGCCTATGATACCGTGGCGAAACCTGTAGTCGATGTAGTCCTCGAGGAAGCGCTCCAGTTCGGCGTATTCCTTCCTGTGTATGGTGGACCTCTTCAGGAGGTTGTTGTTACAAATGGTGATCCCGGGGAATTCGAGTCCTTGAGGGCTGAAGGTCATGTCGACGATGGTTTTCTTCGGGTGGGNTGGCAATTATGTCAATTATAATGGGCAATTAATGTCATTATTTAACTCTCTGGATATTATTATGGCAGGTGTAACAGTCCGAGTGGACGGCGCCTGATCACGTTATGCAGGAGCGAATAAAAGCAGATTTTTGGTTTTGATGCAATCCTGACTTTACGCACGGATAGAATATCTAGTCCCTGTGTGATGAATTCCTTGAATGTGTCCTTCAATGAATGCTTCATTGCAACTAGGAACCCAACCGCCCGCCCGCCCGACCGCCCGAACGACCGCCCGACCGCCCGCCCGACCACCCCTCGCCGCCACCGACCGACCTGTCGCCACCCGACCGAGCGACGGACGGCCCGCCGACCGGAGCGCGACCGCCGACCGACCGACCGAACCGTCCGACCGACGACCGACGCGACGCAACCGACCGACCTGATCGGCCCACGCCGACCGAGAGCGACCGACCGCCCGCCGACCGACAGCGACCGACCGACGCGACCGACCGACCGTCCGACGCACCGACCGGACGCGACCGACCGACCGACCGACCGACCGACCGACCGACCGCCCGCCCGACGTACCCGCTTGTAACTCAGTCCGATGCTGGTGAGAAATCCGGGAGCGATTCTGATGACGACGGAGTTATGGATCGTTGTCATCTTGTGCGGAGAATGCACCGCCACCTGCAGCATCAATCAATCACCCGCCTCCTCAATAATCAATACTCAATAACCAATAACAAATAATAAATAACCAATAATAAATAATAAGTAATCAATACCCAATAATCAATAACCAATAACCAAAAACGCATAAACCGAAACGACCGTAAAACCGAGGCGTAAACCGTCCTATTGAATTCAGCGAGGTGCGCAGCAGCTATTATACTTACAGTAAAGCCGACGGTGTCGCTACGGTAGCCGTAGAAGTATTCTTCTTCGTCGGCCCACAGAAGCATGGAGAGTCCGTGGTCGCTAGTCGTCTGCGACGTGTACAGCGGCGGTCCGGGCGACCAATCACCATCATACGTTTGTAGCTCGGTGGGGAACAGCGCGTTGAAGGTGTAGCAATGGCCGAACGTGCGCGCGGTGTAGAGAAGATCATCGCGACAACGTCGGCTGCCGAACAGACAGCCGCCGACAAAGTCGTGGCCATGATGACTCATCCGCGCCAGATCGCTCATCGTCAGATGCGACAGGTTGTAGTCGGCTGCCGAAAAATTCTCGCCCCCGTGGCTCCATCTGTAGGCGCTGTAGTCGGCGATCAATCGCTTCAAGTCTTCGTACTCCGCCAGGTGGCGCGCCGTGGATTTCTTGATGAGGTTGTTGTCGCAGATGGTGACGGCGGGGAATTCTAAACCTCGCGGGTCGTAATTCACGTCGACGATGGTCTTCTTCGGGTGGGTGGACAGGTAGGTGATGCGACTGTAGGTGAGGTAGAGCAGGTAGGACCAGGATGAGAGGATGGCGACGATTCAGCCGAGTCTGAGCAGCAGCGGCAGGCGGCTGTCGAACACCCAGTGAACACCGTGCAACGTCGTCTGCTCTGCCTTGCTCGACATCTCGTCTGCTAGTGTGCGACGCCGACGACGACGAACATAAAATTCGACCGTAGAAAAAAACAGCGATCGATCGTGCATGCGATGATTTGTAGAGAACTAAGTCAATAAATCGTCATGAAGCCAAGCTAGCTCTGTTTGTTCCATCTATGACATGTATTATTTGCAGCGATAACATCATGATAGAAGGCACAAAGGATGCGCCTTGCTCGATTGTACCTATAGCGCACCTAAAAATCGTTCTTACAATGGTCAACAACAAAAGCAAACACAATTTGGCACGCGAGTACACGCGCACGCTTTACCCCATGCCATTAATTTGCCCAAAAAACCTTCCCTGTGTGTGTAATTCAATAGACACGGTGGCAACGCAAATGTCATGTGTACAAACCATAGAAATTATATACGTAGATACCCTAGTGAATTATTCCTATGGTCGCCCTGGACTGGCTGGCTATTCCAGCTGGCTGTCGAATAACAACGATGCATCGTTGGTTGTTAGCTTACATCTAGACGAATATCAACGTCGACTGACATTCAACAGCTCTCACGTAGAGACCTTTTCATGTTTCAGATATTTATTACGATATATGTATGAATCTTCGATGCGTTATTGTTGTGGGGTGATTCACTATACCCTATGAGCGCGCGAGCACGCTATGGCATCTACGCTGTGCGATTATTCCTCCCATTTAATTCTCTCTCTCTCACCACACACAACGCCGCTGCGCACGCCGCACGCACGCACGCAAGCACGCACGACAACACTACACACACACACACGCACGCACGCACAGCACCACAACAACACACGCACACACACACACACACACACACACACACACACCACACAGCAAACATATATATATAATTAAATATATATATAATATTCTTCCCTTCTTTTTTTTTACTACTGTTGCTCATGGCAGTTGCAGAGTCTCTCACGTATTCGGACTCATGAGTTTAGATTGCAGCGCCACTTGGTTGTACGAACATTCGGTGGTTAAACTTACACCACGACTGAACGCGGGCGGTTGCTAACACTCTGGTTTTGCTGGGCCGCTTGATAAGTAGACCCTATTAGCGCGAAGACGCGAGAGAACGAACGCCACTCCAACGATATATGTAGCGGAAGATGAAGTGTGGCTGACAATCTCTATGGTTGGATTTTGAGATACACGCGCTGAAAATCGGGATCGAATAAGAATAAATACTGGGAACGAAAGAGAAGTGTGAATTCTATGTTGTGATCTGAAAGTATACGAAGTTTCCTTACGAAAGCTTAAATTATCAGGCGGTGTGGCAAATGACAAATTACAATTATGTCGATTGTGTTAATAATAATGGCAATTATGTCAATATAATGACAAATTATGTCGATTATGTCAATTATAATGGCAATTATGTCAATTATAATGACAATTATGTCATTATTAACCTCTGATTTTTTATATCAGGTGTTAAACAGTCGAGTGGACGCGCTGATCACGTTATGCAGCGATTGCAACAAAGCAGCATTTTTGGTTTTATGCATCCTGACTTACGATATATATTCTATTCCTGCTGGATAATTTCTTGAAGCTGTCCTTCACATGTTTCATTGCAACTAGAAACCGACGCCCGCCCGCCCGAACCGATTCGCAAACCGCCGCCTGCCCGCGCTCGGCCGCCCGCCGCCTGATCCGAACCGACCGAACTATCGCTCGCCCCTGCCGCCCCAACAGTCAACCACCCGCCGCACGATCCGCCTCACCGCCCGCGGCCGACGACGAGGCACGCCCGAACTGACCGCCGCCAGTCGGCCGGCCGCTGACTACCCCCGCCCGCTCCGCGCGACCGGAGCCCGCGTCGCCCGCCGCCGGCCGCCCGCGGCCGACGACCGACCGACGACCCGACCGACCCCTACCGACCGACGGATCTACAACGACACCGACCGACTACCGACCGACTTACCTCCCATCACAAATATTTGGCTCCCGATCACCCAACGCCCACCGATCCTACTGATCGCCCGGCGACACCGACCCCGCCGAACAAACCGCCACCGCATAAAGAGATAGGGAGAGAGAGAGAGAGCCAGAGACCATCTATAAATTTCTATCGTAGCTCAAGACCTCTGATCACTCGTTCTTTTAAACAATATGAAACATTATTCCGCGACTTTCTCTCGCTCTAGGTGCTCGTCCTCTGTGCGTCTATATCGCTTGTTCGGTCGTGTCCTGTTTCCCACGTTCAACGTCAATCGTCTGCGTGGTTCCGCTGTCGCCCACCAGATGGCGTTTGGGGCGTATGAAGATGAGGACTTCTAGGATGGTGAGTAGGCTGGCTCCGGCGAAGGCTCCCATCAAACCACCGATGTCACCTGCCGAGGGATGTTGGAATTGATCACGATGTAAGATGTTTGTTACGCAAGTAGAGAAGCAGAATTAATATTTGTATACATTGGATTGGTCGTTCATGGCTGGCGTCATTGTTGTCAGCATCGTCGTTGTCTTCATCGTCGTCGTCATCATCGTCGTCGTCATTTTCGTCATCGTCGTCGTCATTGTCGTCGTCGTCGTCATTGTCGTCATCGTTGTCATCTTCGTCGTCGTCTTCGTTGTCGTCATTGTCTTCATCGTTGTCGTCATCATCGTCGTCGTCATTGTCGTCGTAATTGTCGTCATCATTGTTGTCGTCGTCGTCGCCTTCGTCGTCGTCGGCTTCGTCGTCGTTTTCGTTGCCGTCATTGTCGTCATCGTCAACATCATCATCGTCGGCTACATTTTCTTTTAAAAAGTGTACTGGCTTCTATCATCATCTTTCTTACTACTTTGGTAAAATTAAGTAATTAATTATTACTTTTTAAAAATTAAAAGTAAAATTGGACTTTCTTGAATTCTCTTACGCCAATCACTACTAAAATAGCGGGCGCAAACAGCACGTGATGCTCGTTATTTTGTTCGAATTAAATATAATTTAATAAAAATACAATTTAATTGGGGAAAAATCACTTACAGATGAGGTCTTGGGGAGTGTACGACGGTTCAGTCCATACGGTTGTATTCGCAATGTCTGCATAGTAGACCTCTAGGATCGCCATATTCTTCCTAGAGTGGATAATAAACACATCATTCGCGATCACGCATTTTATAGAATTCATTGATGGAATTATGAGATAGGGAACACACACAGAATTTACCGAACTGCATGCAGCGCCCTCTTCGTACAACTCAGGATACGCGAGCGCCATCTGTCGTGGAGTTTGAGAATTTACATGTACATTCCGGTCATGGGGTTGATGAATGAGTGAACCAGAGAGCAGCAGACAAACTGCTATGAGAGAATGGGAGAATGGATGGGATGGAATGACTAAGCAAGTTGTATTGATGGATATAGGAGTCTAGAAAATTAATTGTGTGAACATTTTACTTGTCACAACTACCACTCGTACAAGCCTGATATAGTAGCAGTAGCACACGAAAGCCATTTGTTTATATTGAGCGAGAAATAAAATAGAGGATAATAGAAGGACAACAAAAGAAGGGGGTAGAGAGAAGGGGAGAGAGAGAGGGAGAGGGAGAGAAAGAGGGGAGTGAGGGGGGAGAAAAAGGGAGAGAGAGAAGGAAGGAGAGAGAGAGAGAAAGAGAGCGAGAGATAGAGAGAGAGGGAGGAAGAGATAGAGAGGGAGAGAGAGAGATGAGAGAGAGAGCGAGAGAGAGAGAGAGAGCGAGAGATAGAGAGAGATGAGATGGCACAGTAATCACGTGGAGAAATTAATTAAATTACGAAGAAATAATTACTTATAATTGCATTACAATAAAACGACGCCTGACCTCTGTGCATCCAATGACTTGTTGAATTTCTGCGACATGACCACAGATGGCGCCACGTTAAATGACGTCTGAAAGTTGTAGTAGTCAACGATGCAGTTATCAGGACACGACTTATCCGGCGGACCAAATTTGTCCAAATTGTATTTGTCTGAAATGCAAAATAAGTTATGGATAAGTTATGAATGAAGTTACATATGATGTAAAAGAAATTATACGCACACTGTATTATTTTATCTAGTTTCCTTGTTTGTTATGCAGGAAGTATAAGAGTTGACCAACTATATATTTAAGAACACATATCAATAATATGTTAAAATATACAGAAAATCATTCACAATATCAATATAAATTTCGTTCAATTACTTACAGTAGTTCGGTGCGTAACAGGTAAAGTATTTAATAATGTCGCATTCTTTAAAACCATCTGCAAAAATATTGATATTATTGGTAGAACAATTTACGTGGTTGCGATCGGATCATATGTATCATATATATCGAGATATTACAACGAACACAACAGCATTCTATACGAGTAGTCACGACTTACGCTTAAAATGATGTTACGTGGCATTTTACTTGTGTCACAACTACCACTCGTACACGCCTGAGATATAGCAGCAGTAGCACACAAAAACCATTTGTTTATATTCACCCACTCTCCGATATTTATCATAGTATATACATTATCATCGTAATATCCTGTTGCTATACGTTGCTACACGTTGCTATGATAGCCCTCGTTGAATCTGCCACAGAGGGCAGGTCCTCCCTCCTCTATCTCTCCCGTGGCAGACCCTGAGAGACAACGAAGGCTATAGTGGTAGAACTACACACAAACATGGCGTACTTACAGACACACTGGTGACCTTGGTAACATCGAGGCAGACGATGATGGTGTCGCCACCGTCGACATCAAGGACGCGCGGATCCAGCTGTGTGGCGCGCAAAGCATTGTGGGACGCGCGCTAGTGGTATGTGCTTATTGAAATCTAGTTGAAATGTAATATTTTTTAGAGAATGTGAGTAATGTACGAGAATTTCATGATTTGTCGATGGTATTATTACTCGAGTTTTTTTAAGCCTCGTAATTTTCGGTGATTCTTTATTTCTTTCGTAGTTGAATTCACAGACTCACAGTGACAGTGACATTGTGGTAGCCTACATACTTTTCCAACGACGTCACAAAGATTAAAAAACGCTTATTGAAACGACTTACATAGGGGGGCTTGGTCAACTACAACAAAAAACACGAGTTTTTTTTACTGGAAACTGAAAAAAACGATTGAGACATTTACGATGCACTTCGATGCGGGGAAATTCTTCGTGAGGATCAGTGTCAGGGGCACTGAACTATAACAAAATTGTTTATTGTTATAGCTCAGTGGTCAGGGGTCTCTTTATCGGGAGTCTCGCCTTTTCTCGCAGGTTCACGCGGACGAGGACGACCTTGGCACGGTTAACAGTGCGGCGAGCCGCAAGACCGGCAACGCTGGCGACCGTCTAGGCTGTTGCGTTATCGGGATTACCCAATAGATCGGCGACGCTGGCGACCGTCTAGGCTGTTGTGTTATCGGGATTACCCAATAGATCGGCGACGCTGGCGACCGTCTAGGCGGTTGCGTCATCATGATTTCCCGATAGACTGACACGCGGTCGATTTCAGAAGAGTGAGAGAAAGGTCGATTTAGAGAAACATATACATATATGATATATATGGTACATATATATGAACAAGCGTCGTCTCTCTCCCGGCATATACGTATATATACGTCAGAAACACTGGCAATACAAAGGAAGAGAACATGTTTCTGGGGCTGTGAACAGTTTATTAGCAGACCAAATCGAATCTAGAACGCGCCAAGACTATGTAAGATGATGATATCTGAACGCGTGTAGTAGCCAAACACTTAATTGTGAAAGCATAACACTTAAGAAGGAAGGCGGAGCGAAGAACGGAGAAGCAAAATCCCTGAGTTAAAAAAACATATGCGCACATGTAAGCATGTACGCCCCCAACTATATATATATATATATATATATATATATATATATATTATTATAACAAACAACATAATCTATATATATATATATTATATTTATATATATATAATAATCTGAATGTGTTTGTTTGTTTGTTTTTTGTTTGTTTGTTTGTTTGTTAATTGAGAAGATGAGAGCGAGAGGAACGCGAAAAGGACAAAGAGAAACAACGATCAGACCGCGAGACGAGCGGAGGACCGAGAAGGAGAACCGAGAGATAACGGTATACATTAAAAGATAGATAGAGAGAGAGAGAAGGAGAGAGCGAGAGGCGCGCGAGAGCTGAAGGCGGCGCGAGGGACGGAGAGCAAAATCCCGTTAAGCAAG